TTTCAGAGACGAGAGTCTCTAAAGGCTCACTGCAGACATTCACTTAGTTAAATCTGAATGAAGCCAAAGTGAACAATCTATGCTGCTGTCTCTGTGTTCATAGAAACAGCCCCCATCCGATTTGATTTGGCTGCAAAGCAGTCTTAAGAAAAGATGATCATTCTTAGAATCCAAAAGTGAAGTCTTGAGGCTTTCAAGGCAGAACAAAAATATTTTAGGTGGGTACGGTAGGTTAGCCACCTGATTCTCTTCCTTAGCATTGTCTGTATTCCCTAAAATATATAATGCACACACACACACACACACACACACACACCCCTTGTTTTAATTTTCATTTAGAATTCCATGTCATTTTAAGACAAAGAGAAAGGATTTGATTTGTAGGACTCTTGCAAGCAATCTTTAGATTCTTAACTGCCTTTTATCTAGATGAGTACCCAGAGAGAGATTGAACAGGGAGGGGACTCTGGGGCATAAGCTTTTCATTCTGTAGCTCTCCTGGAATAAAAAATTCCATAAAGTAACATCTGTAGTAATTAAGGGCTTACATTTTCCTCTCCCATTCATGTCTCTGCTAGAAGGGAAGGTTATTTTCCCTAAGAGACTGAGATAGTAGATCCTGTGAGAAGAGAGAGCAAAATTAGAATTCTTTTGTTCCTAGAAATGGGAGTTTCCCACCTCTAATAAATAAATAACAAGTGGAAAGACTTAAAAGACTTACTATAAAATATTCCGCTGAATGACAAATTGAAAAATTTAGCTACTCCTAATATTTGAAATGGATAAAGAGTCATCTTGCCTTTCTAATCCACCTTCTAGGAAGCCAACCGCAGTCTCCTAGAATTCGTTTCTTCATCTCGCCAATGTATAACTATATGTCTGAGGCTATTTCCAGAAAACGAGTGATTCAAAAACTCTGCTGTGGTTTTTCATTTGTTAAATCCTGCTCCTATTTCCACATCCTGAAAGGGATTTTGAGGAAGTTGTGATTAAGGGGTGAACAAAATTCTCTTTTTGTCTTTGTTTTTATTTATTAAAATTTAAAGCTGTTACACCTCTCATTTTCTTTTCATTTTGACACAGTATTGATTCATTCTTCATATATTCTCCCCAATAATGCTTACATAGATCCACTGGGCTATCTGATAAATGAATATCAACTAATAATGTCATATCAAATTCCTATACTTTTTTGTCATAGCAGGTCCAGCTACATAATTTATGGCACCCAGTGAAAGATAAAAATGCAAGAACTCTGTATAGAAATTATTTGAATTTTAATTCCTGCCTTATAGCTCTCACCCAAATTAACTCAACATTGTCTTCAAATATAACAGAAAAAAACTTCTAGAAGAAAACACAGGAAAAGAGATTCTTGACTTTGGTCTTGACAATGTGTATATATATATATACACACACACACATACCCCTAAAGCTACAAAATAGAAAGAAAAAAAATGGGACTGCATTGAACAAAATGCTCCTGTCCAGCAAAGGAAACAATCAACAAAATGAAAGGACAGCCTAGGGAATGACAAACAACATCTCTATATCATATATCTCATAAGGGGGCCATATCCAAAGAAAATAAGCAACTTAAAGAACTCAATAACAAGACACCAAATAGTTCAATTAAAATTGGGCATAAAACCTGAATAAAAATTTTTTCAAGATATACTAAAGACCAATCATTACCTGAAAATGTATTTCACATCAGTAATCATTTGGGAAATGCAGGTCAAAACAATAATGAGCGATTACCTCATGCCTGTTAGAATGGTGATCCCCACAAGGAGAAGAGATAAAAAATGCTGATGAGGATGTGGAGAAAAGAAAACACTTGTGTGATGTTGGTGAAATGATTAATTGGTAGCGTCACTGTAGAAAATATTATGGAGATTTTCTCAAAAACTTAAAAGAACTATCATACAATACAGCAAATTCCACCTATGAAAATATATCCAAAGGAAACAAAAATACTATATAGAGGAACTATCTGCACCCTCATGTTCATAGCATTGTTTAAGATAGTAAAGATATGGCTGCCACCTACGTGTCCACTGAAGGATGAGTGGATAAAGAAGTTGTATATATATAATGGAATATTATTCAGCCATAAAAAAGATGGAAATTCTGTCATTTGTGATAAAGTGGATAAACCTTCAGGGCATTATGTTAAATTAAATAAGTCAGAGAAGGACAAATTATACATGATCTCATTTATATGTGGAATCTAAGAAAAAAGAAAGAAAAAAAGGCAAAAAAAACCCAAACCAAAGATATCAGATTTGGAGTTACAAGAGACAGGAGATGGGGCACAGGGAATTGGATTAAGGAATAAAAACATCCAGACTTCTAGTTATAATGTAAATAAGTACTAGGGGTGTAACATATAACATGTTAACTGCACTGCACATAGTCTATATAAAAGTTGTTAGGAGAGTTCTCATCATCAGCGGGAAAAAAAAAATTGTTTTTTTTTTTGTTCATATGAGTTGATGGATGTTCACTAACCTTATTATTGTGATCTTTTCACAATATGTGAAACTCAAAACATTATGTTGTACACCTTAAATTTATGCAGTGCTCTATGTCATTTATACCTCAAAAAAGTAGGGGAAAGAGTAAGGAGATACACTTGAACTCATTAAAAAAAAAATAATTTCAAGGACCTCCCTGGTGGCACAGAGGTTAAAGTCTCAGTGCTCTCAAGCCATCGCCAGCCACTGGGGAATAAGTTCAATCCCCGGCCAGGGAGCTAACCCTCCTGGCAGCAGACCTCACCTAGCTCACCTGCTGCTCCCCTCAGCAGAGTATTCCAGTAGATCCACCTGTTCTACCCACCCCCACTCTGTCTCTGGTGAATCCTCTCACCCCCGTCACCTCTGGCCTATACTCCAGTTCTTGTGTGCATATATAAAACAAATCTTTAAAAAAATAATTCTGAGATGATAATGACAGAGCTTTATACCAAAGCAGAGTCATTCTAAGTCTGGCACTCTATGTTAGCACATGGGTTTTGCATGATGATGTCCATCCTACTTGGCAGGTAAAGATTTGCCAAGCACATTTTATAAAAGATGTATGTACATACCCCATACGAATTTTACATCAGAGAAGATAATTCATTTTAATTTAAATCGGAAAATAATTACAACTTCCCAAATAAAATGTGCTTATCATATGATCTTCAAATTCCTTAACCTGATAATTCAGATACCCTTGTCTATACCATCCAACTTATCTCCCAGAATTTTCCCTTAAAATTTCCACTCCAGGGCCTCCCTGGTGGCGCAGGGGTTGAGTGCTGGGTTGTGAAGCTGCCTGCAGCCTCTGCAGCACCGGTTCCATCCCCGGCTGCTCCCGGGCCACTGGAGGAGGGTCCCACATGGCACGCAGACCTCTCCTGCCGCCTGCTGCTCCCCTCAACAGTGTACTTCGGTCCTTCTGCCTGCTCTGCTCCCCGCTCTGGCTCTGGTGAATTCTCTCACCCTCCCATGCTTCTGACTGTAACCAGTGCATGTATAAACAAAAACAAACAAACAAACAAACAAATAAATAAACCTGCCTCTATAATAAATAAATAAATAAATAAATAAATAAATAAATAAATAAATAAATTTCCACTCCAGCCATGGTCTGCTTCTTCTACGCCATTAACAAGGGGCCCAGGTACTCTCACCTCTACCCTAATCACTCCTCCCAAGACCTTCCTGGCTTTTCTCAGTGTCTCCCTGGCTTCTGGAATTCTGTAGTGTAATAAATATATAATTTATTTGGTATTTGCATCCATATTTTTTCTTATCTTTTTCCTTCTGCATGTAATAAGGCCATATAATATCATCTTAAAAATACATATCAAACTTAAATCTGGGACATTTTAGGAGCTTACAAAATGGCTCCATTCCAAGGAGCTCATATTAATAACACAGCAGAAAATCCAAAATTATGCTTTGTCTTTTAGGCAAACCTAGAGTTTTCATACACACTCTTTCATGAGTATGTGTCATGTTTCTTTAATTTATTTTTGCCTCTGGTGTACTGTGTAGGATTTAATATCTTTTAATTAGATTCAATCCTTTAATTTTATCTTCCCTAATTTCATAAAATAACTAAAGCCAGATACATTTATTATCTAGAAAAATATTCCCAATGCTACTATAGTTAATTTATAACTCCTGCCAATGTTGACATTCTGAAGGTATGGCTCAAAATGTTCATTTACCAGTTTATATGTAATGTATTCGACACAAGAAACCCAGATTAGGAATATTAAAGTTAAGTATGAAAAACAAAGGACTGTCCAAAATTCATAATTTAGAGACTTTGTAACTTAGGTGTGGGTATCGATACTCTCCTCTCACATTGGGGACCCCAAATAACTCTTTTTTGTATATATCGCCCAGTAAATTTCCCTTCAAATTATCATGATGTCATTGATGAAGACATTACTGTATTAATCATTCCTTTAGGCTGCAAGTCATTGAAATAAAGCAGAACTCAATGTGCTTTGAGGAATCCCTCAGCAGTAGTTCTTAGTAATTACACTACAGGTATTGGTGTCAGGCAGTTGTCAATGAACAGCCGATTTTACCACCTATTGGCAAGGCAGTTCTTGTCTTTACATCTTGGCTGCCATCCTTGTTGATCTGAAGAGCAAGAGCAAGACAGACATTTCAGGTTTTCTATTTCAGACATTCCACAGATATTTATTAAGCACTCTCAGCTGCCAAACATTGAGGTAGGGATTAAATAAGAAAATGCCTGAGTATCACCTGTGGTGAGGACTCAGCAGCCACAGAGACACATTTCAAGAGAGTGATAGGCCACGATGTTCTATTGGCAGCTCATGCTGATCACAGCAGCAGCTGACAATTGTGGTAAAATTCTCAAATCAAGTTTTTCATGGCTTTCCTATTTTCCCTTTGAATTTTTATTTATTTTTCCTAGATATACATAATGTCATGAACAGATATAATTTCCTTTATGTCTTTTTCCAGAATGGAGTCTACTGAAAAATGTGAAGTGGTCATTCAACATTTTAATGGAAAATATCTGAAAACACCACCAGGCATCCCAGGTAAGACATGCCATTAAGTAATAATTAAATACTGTGCAGGCTTGTGGCTAGTTTGAGAGTGAGTGAATGGAAAGGCTTTGGTTAGTCAGAGAGAGAAAAAAGGGTTGCTTTCATGAATGTGCATTTTTCATACTAAGGGCAACTCATCTGTCTCAAAACTAACAAATGTTGCTTAGAGATTTTTCTTTGGCCTTTCTGTAAAATATCTGCTGCTAATTCTCTAAAAGAAATTAGAAGGAATGTATAGAAAAGAGTAGTTAAAAATGTACTTGAAGTGAAGGATGTGTATGACTCCTATTATTATTGATATCCTGATTTCTAATTTATAAAATATCTAAATGGTGATGTTCAAAGTTGGGGCCATATATTGATGCCTATTCTCAAACATTTCTTACAATCCAGGACAAGAAAAACATAGAAAGTGAGAGGAAGCATTTGCAAATTTTTATATCAATTTGATATTTTCATAATATCTGAGTGCATAATTTCATATTTTACAAAAATATTAATATATGAAACAAATTTTAACTATCCATGCATTAGGGATAGCCTGAGAACGATGAATCCAGACCATCTCAAGACATTTCACATTTTCCAAGGCAAACTTCTTAAGATTTTATACACTTCATAAAATGATAAAATTATGCTATTAAGAGTTATATTTAACATAAAATGTTGACCATTTTGCATGTTTCAGAGCATAACCTAGAAATTTTTCTATTTGATTTTAATCTGGTAGTAATGTATGTGGAAAACATTTAATATTAGATGAGTACATTTAAAAATTTATCTTACTCATATATAAAAATATTCAAGACTAAATGAAGTGTTAAAACTAATTATAATAAGCAGGTAAATAAATATCTTATTAAAGGATGTTGCTTTATTTCTTCTTTTTTGATGTATTTGTTACCCTTGGTTTTGGTAAATTATCAGGGAGAAATACTACTTCTTCAGTTTTATGATTTTTTTTTCATTTCATCTTTAAAAGCTGTATTTTTGTAGTTTTTTGCTATGTAATAGATGTACTGTTTCAAACCTATGGTTAGAGAGTTCAGGGATTGAGCATTTCAGTTCCTTAAAATACATTGAATAAAAGAGAAAGTCTGAACAGAAAGAGAAATATTATTGTGTGAGGATCAGAGTATTCTTATGATTTTTGGGAGTTTCTTGTTCTTTAGGGAGGTTGGTGGTAGGAAAGTAGAGAAGCCCTTCAGACGTGGATGCTTTGGAAAATTCTAAGTAGCATCCCTGGTTAATCACGGAGTCAGCAGTGAACTCTATGCTCGATCTGCTTAGCTTCTATGCGTTATGTTCCCTGGAGAACTAACTGCATTATGATCCAATTGGAGACATATGGTGTTGTTAAGAAAAGAGTTAGCAGTTTTCATCTCAGAATGTAAGCTGTCCTTGCATTTTAGAAGAAATATATATATTTTTTTCCTTTTAGCATTTAAGAGACATTTAAAGACACTCTGTTCAGACCATCATGGAATACAGGTGTTGTATTGTTAGAGGATTTCTCCCCCTATTTTCCCCTTGGTATCTAACAGATGTCTGCCTATAAAGAAGGCGGACAAACCAGACATGAATTATCAAATGATATTAAAAATTGAAGAATGAGAAAATTTTGTTAAAATTATTGTTGATTCTAGTTTTAATACACATCTTCCTTTCAAATTTTTCTTCTTTTTTGAAAAAAAAAATTGAAATCCTTCTTGACCTGATTTGAAACTGTTTTATTTGATTTAACCCACAAAACATACAACTGACAAGTATAATTTAATGCTAAAGACAAAGGACATCACTACAAAACCCAAATGTCTGGGCATCCTTTCTGAAAATGCAGGCTATCTAAATATCTAAATATCATAGCTACACCCAATGGAAGCATTGTGAATAGCAAGAACTTGGAGATGAGTTTCTCACTCACTTTTATCTCTTGGGAGCACAAGAGGCAAAAGAAAAATCATGCTCTCTTCTAAAACTCTTAAGACATATAACTTTATGTTTCTGAGATTGGCACTCAACTTAATAGAATTAAATGTGATATTGATCATCATCAGAACCTGCATTTACTTACTTAATGCATTACTTTGAAAGTCAAATAGAGTTTTATAAAGACTCCAAATGCTAACTGAAAATAGTGGCTCTTTGATATTTAAATCTGATGTGGAATTAAAGAGAACATAATACAAGATGTGGGCATTTTGGAAAGCACAGTAGTAAAATATCCTCTTTGGGGTACAATTTACTCGGCTGTAACAAGAATAATCAAATTTGGGTGTATACTATTACCTTTATTTGTCCTCGTGATTACTTATTGTAGATAATCAAAATCATTGAAAAACTATCCAAATCCAGTTTTCTATCCATCCTGAAGATTCTGAATGGGATGTTACTATCTTCTGAGAAAAATTTTTAGTATATATTTTGAAAAGAAGTTACCAATTTCCTAAATTTTTAAAATATGACTATAGCATTAGAAAGACCATCCATGCTGGGCCTCCCCTGGTGGCACAGCGGTTGAGCGCTGGGTTGCAAAGCTGCCGTAGCCTCTGCAGCGCCTATTTGATCCCCGGCCACTGGGTGAGGGTCCCACATGGTGCGAAGACCTCTCCTGCTGCCCACTGCTCCCCTCAGCAGTGTACTTCATCAGTCTGCCTGTTCTGCTATTTGCTCTGGCTCTGGTGAATTCTTTCACCCTCCTGTGCTTCTGGCTGTACCCAGTGCTTGTATAAATAAATAAATAAGTCTTAAAAAAAAAAAAAAAGACCATCCATGCTTCATACTTATAGGTATGTTAATTAAAAACAACTGATCTGACCACCTACAACTCAAATAGAATTCTAAAAATCTCAGCAATCCCCATTATTAAGACATGGGTCACTCAATTAAGGAGACTGAAATTATACAGAACTTCATGTCAATTGTTTCAATGCAATCTTTTAAGGTTGTATGAATGAGTGACCCACAATGATCCAAAAATGACCAAAGAGCCCTAAGAAAGCTGATGAAGAAGTTAAATATTCAATCAATGAATATTCTTCTAGAGGCCTGCTTTTATTACTTATGTATTTGTTTAGCATTCTATTTTTTTTTTAAGATTTATTTATTTATTTGTACAAGCACTGGGTACAGTCAGAAGCACAGGAGGGTGAGAGAATTCACCAGATCCAGAGCAGGGAACAGAACAGGCAGACTGACGAAATACACTGCTGAGGGAAGCAGTGGGCACAGCAGGAGAGATCTGTCGCGCCATGTGGAACCCTCCCTGGCAGCCAGGTATCGAACTGGCACTGCAGAGGCTGAGGGCAGCCCAGCGCTCAACCGCTGCACCACCAGGGGAGGCCCTATTTAGCACTCTAATGACCACATGCCAGGGTACTTTTTTTATTTGTTTGTTTTTGTATTTATTTCTTACATTGTTAATTGTTGGGCTGTATTTGGTTTCTCCCATCACACAGCACCCGTGATCATGTCCACAGATCCTTTTGTAGAGCCCTGCTTTTAACTTTAAGCAAGTGAGAACAATTGATCTGACATTGTCCCTACTAATGTCTCCATTTAGGTAAGATGTGGACATTTGCACATCTTACTAGGCAAATGTAGTGCCATTTTGGTTTCCGTCACACCTGACAATACCCCCTCTTAAAGGAAATGCAAACTTAATTATTTTCCTGAGATGACCATTTCATTTTCAAATCCCCTACTGTGTCATTGCTGTGAAATCGCCTCAAACCCATACTTTGACATTCTGACTTTCAAATTCTAAAATCATCACAGTTAAGTATATTCACAGGAACCTATAACACTGACCACATTTATGTTGCTGTCTGCATTTTGATTCTAATCATTCTAGGAATAATTGCTCATTAAATCTGACTCATGTTGGTATTTCATTTTGATTCCTGATAGATTATGTGAGTTGGAGGAGAACTCTAGATATTTTCTTTTAGATCGTCCTCTCTCTTCTTGGGTTCCTCCTATTTGTTTCTATAAGATCTAATTTTAATGAACATATTATGGATTGTTAATGGCTAGAGTGTCATAGAAGTAGCACTTTTCACTTTGAATTATAAAACTAGCTCCAGATTTTGGTTACCTGGATCAGTGAAGCTAAATATACTAGCCAAAAATCAAATCAGTTGAAGTGTGATATGTATGATCCAGGAAATTAACAAAAATCAGATGGCTGCATTGCTATTAGCAGAGGGAAGAAAAGGCCAAAGAGCCTTAAACAGCGTCAATCATTGTAGCCATCCACAGAAAGAGATTATCCAGTATTTTCCCCTTCCCCTGGAGGGAAAAGAAAACACAGTGTTCCATAAATGTTGCATGTCCTACATATCGATCTTGATGTTTTCTGTACAAAATGAAGGATCATTAGTTGCTTGCCTGCCTAACCCCAGACATTTCTTTGTCCCATAATGAATTGTGCGGCAGTGCTGTGCAGCCCCAAAGCATTCCATTTTCCAACCTCAGGCAAAAGCAAAGGGTAAGTTCCCAGATACTTCAGGGATCTTTAGGGCATGAGCTTGAAAGGCTCACTTTCAAAGAGACCCCGGAGCAGAGTGCTCGCCATGTGGAAAAGTCTTCCACGTGTCAGGACATGTATTGATGAACAGAACAGGCAGGCTAGTTTGTAGAAACATAAATCACAGTTTGCTCTCAAACGAAACTTTGCCTGTAAGCACATTTCCTATTCATGGAGCAGTCATTCCAGAAAAAAAAAATGGAATAACTCACTTTTAATGTGATTTTCTTACTCTTTAGATAATAATTTCTAATCCCAGCTATATGCCAAAAAATAGGGAAGCATTGAGAGAGTGCTCACCCTATTTTGAAATCTTTTTAATTTCAATAAATCTTGTGATTGACAGAAATGTGGATAATTGATGAAGGAATCCTATTTTTTTCTTTTTTTTTCTTTTTTCTATTTTCTTAATTTTTAAATTTTTATTTTTTTAACATCATTGTTCATTTTTACACAATATCTG